TGAATACATATCTTATATTAACACACTGTTATTAAAGGCTGAACCGGAACCGATATATTTAATTCCTGTTCTTTATAGCCTGTAATATTTCAAAGAAATTAATACTTCACCCAGGTAAACATAAGAACACAACGCCAATGATAACGTCCCAAAACATGAGTTTCTGAGGATTTCTTGAAAATTTCCCCCTTGATGAGAAAAAATCAAGAAGAATTTTAGATTCAAAGATGCTTAGGAAAATGTAGAAATATATATGTAATTAGATAAGTAAATACAATAATTTAGATTGTTTAAAACTTTCATATTCTTGTATTTATTTAGTTGAGTTTTTAGCTATGGTTCTAACGTTCTTCGTGAATATTAAGTTTTTAGTTATTAGTAGTAATTGGTTATAACAGTTTTGATGGCTAGCGGCAAGAATGCCAGTATCAGTAAACAAATACTATTCAGAAATACCACGATTAAATTAAATTTTTTTTAAACTTTCGCCACTGTTTTCGAGGGCGAAAGCATCACTTTTTCCCATTACAAATTTTCTTCATCCCGCGTGGAAAGTAGATCTTTCGCCACGCACGCTGACAGCTTTACTTTGTCACTGACTGTCAGTTGTCTTTTCGACAACATTTTTTATGTTTTTGTCAAAACCTTATAATTTTCCGACTAGTTTCCACCGAGGATCAAGAAAAATAGTTTATAAACTATTTTTCTGTATTTCTGTATACATTACAAGGAAACTTGTTTTTTTTAACACTTTCTATTAATAGTTATCAACATTTTGTCGAAATTCTATTAAAGCAAGTACTTTGCAACAAGAAATGCTACTCAAATTAAGATGCACATATTCCCATAGGAAAAATTAATAAATATTCGAGTGGCTGCAATTGTCATTTTTTACATAAAATTTCAAATATATCAAAAATGGTTCGACTTAGGTATAGGATATTATACATGAAATATATTTAGAATTCGGAGTGAAACTTAAAAATGTAATCATATATAGTGTTCTATTTAAAATAATCAAGTTGATACCTACTTCAGGTATAACCGGAAATGTGGCCATTTTGAAAATATTTTAGACCGCTTGCCCCATAGAGAAAGTAAAATTTTACTTACTCTATGGCTTGCCCCCAATGACTTCGGAGCACTAGTCCATTTTGAAATTTCTTCTCATTACAGTTTGCCAGATATCGATCGCGGCAGTTCCCTGTGGTCCACCCTGTATACATTTTCGAACCGAAATTAACCAAAAAAAATCGGAACCGGAACCTAAACTGAAAATGTTGCTTCGATGCGGAACAGTTTTTCGACTCGGTCAGGGTCCCTGGGCAAAACTATTGATAAATGGGTGAATGCGTGGCAACATCGTATTTTGTTGAATTGCCGAACGAGACAAACAAACTTGTCTTTACAGAACATACCCCCTTAGAATGCAAACTGCAATGATAGGTTATGGAGATAAATTCAGCTGTCCACCTAGCGGTATGAGCACACAAACTATGAGGAATTTCTCCGATATTTGACTCTTAATGATTGCATTCACCAAATATATCGGGTCAATAAAAAAACCCTGTTATGTAATATTTTATTCAATACGTAGTCAATAAATCAGTTACAACCATGTTTTGTTGCTTTCGGGACTATTTGCAACAAATGTTTGTTTCTGTGATGTACCAGTGTTCCCCTTGTCCGGATATTTTCTGAAAGATGATTGATTTGCTCGGCTCTGAAACAACAATGTGAGGAATTAATTTTCTGGCATTGCCTAAAATCATTTGTCGCTTCAGCAATTATTGGTAATCCAATAATTGGTAATGTCATTACAGTAATTGTAATTTTCGAGAAATAATAAAATAAATCTATTTCGTA